GAAGAGAAGGCCCTTCATCTGGATCCCACCAGTCGCAATAATCAGGCTGATAGGACCTGCAGCATCCCTCCTCTGCTGGCACAGGTGGGACGAGCCAATCCCAGTGGGATGAGACAGTCCCTCAAGTAGCCTGGACCACGAAGGGCTTTAAAGATGATTACTAACACCTTGAATTGAACCCAGAAGCAAATTGGCAGTCAACTCAACTCACGGGCCAGTGGCGTTACACGGGCCATTCTTTGGGCCTCAAGAACTGTCCACACCCGCCCACTCTGCACCAGTTGTAACTTCTGAATGCTCTTCTGGGGTAGTCCTATGTTGAGCGCATTTGAATAGTCCAGCCGTGAGATGACTGGGGCCTGAATGACGGGACTCCTGATCCAGGAAAGGCCACAACTGGTGCAGAACCCAAAGTTGCACTCCTAGCTGCACCTGCCACCTGCTCTTTGAGCAGGAATTGCTAGTGCTGGAGAACCCTAAGTTGTAGACCGGATCTGTCTGAGGAAGTGCAAGCCCACCCAGAATTAAAGACGGCAAAGTCCCAGATCTCAGGCATCCAAAGCCATTCGGTCTTACCAGGGTTCAGTCAAAGCCTGATGATCCCCATAAAGCCCCTAAAGCCTCACAGGAACAAAAAAAAACAGTCTGAGGGAAGCTGGGTTGATCTATTCTGTGCACAACACATTTCAATGAATAATTATTTTGGCCTGATCCTTGGACCATAAATGTACATGCAATTTCATCTAGGAAAATGAAAGTGATCCTGCATCAACACCTTTTCATGTTTTCCTGTTCAGCGGTGTCCAGTGCTTTCAGAGTACGGGCATAAAGGACGACAATATCTGTGTGTTTAGCTTTCTTATTGCACTAAAACAAAACACAAAATGAAAGTGAGTCACTTTCTGGCAAATAATCTATTGCTCAGCTGTGGTGGTTTGGCTAAGAACATCTATGTGTTTACTTATCATCAGGTTATCACTCCTGTATTTTTCTTTACATTCCTGCATGTCCTCCTCTCTATTGCTCATATGACATTCTTCAGAATGGAGGTTTTGTTATTGTGCCAACTCTGCCTATTAGTGACTAACTGGTCACAGAATTCAGGCTTTGAAAGGACAGGACTTGGGGATAAAGCTGCCACCTCCCACCCACCCCAATATCATTTCCTATCCTTTACGACAGGAGTAAGGGCCAGCTTCTCAGAATAAGCCTCGGTGGCGCAATGGTTAGAGTGCAGTACTGCAAACTACTTCTGCTGACAGCCAGCCTGCAATTTGGCAGATCGAATCCCACCAGGCTCCAGGTTGACTCAGCCTTCCATCCTTCCAAGGTGGGTAAAATGAGGACCCAGATTGTTGGGGGCAACAGGCTGACTCTGTAAACCGCTTAGAGAGGGCCGTAAAGCACTGTAAAGCGGTATATAAGTCTAAGTGCTATTGCTATAAGAAATAACAATTACAATCTTGGCTCAACAAACACATGAAATATGGTGCATTTTTAGGAAAATTGTCTGAACTGTTTTCACATCATGAGGGATACCCTGTGCTTGTGGTTACTTTCTTTCCTTATCAAATGTAAAGCATTTCTTTTTATTTGGGCTCTTCTGTTAGTGTCTGTGCACTTTTAAACTATTTTGGTAAATTTACCATGCAAGAATCTTGTCTGAATGCAAGAGACCAGTAATCTGGTTTAAATCTTCTTTGGTTACTGATTTTTATCGCAACAAGCCTCCACAGCCAACAGTCCAAGTGTAGTGTGCACTGTCCGCTGCAATTTGCAAACAATAAGTAGTTCTCCTGAATGTTAATGGCACCTTTTTCCCTTAGAATCCTAAGCTCTGCAAAGTTCTGTTAAATAACTGAAGAAAGAGAACTAGTTCCTCCCTTGAAGTTCTGGCATCCCCCAGTGGATACAGGTAGTCCTTGACTTACAATCACAATTGAGCCCAACATTTCTGTTAAGTGAGACATTTGTTAAGTGAGTCTTGCCCCATTTTATGACCTTTCTTGCCACAGTTAAATGAATCACTGCAATTGATGTTTGTCCACAGGCTGCAAAAGGGATCACGTGATCTTGGGACACAGCTATGGTCATAAGTATAAACCAATTGCCAAGCATCTGAACTTTGATCACATGGTCATGGGCATACTACAAAGATCGTGAAAAAACTGTGATAAGTCATTTTTTTAGTGCCGTTGTAACTTTGAACAGTCACTAAATGAACTGTTACAAGTCAAGGACTACCTATATTTAAATGTATCATGGAAAAATAGCTGAAAAATAGCTGCATCCAAAATATTCTAATACAAATGTATTAGTAGCTGAGCTAAGACTAAAATTGTTGTTTCACTTCACAAAAGTCACTTAAACTCCCTGCAACCACTCCTAACCAATTCCTTTTTATCACAAATGAGTCTTTCTTGCTAAAAGACTTTTACCTGGGGGCATTTGCCTACTTGACCCTTCAGCCACCTCTTAATGCAGCTGTAGCCGAAGAGATGCCCGCAGCGCAATGCAGCAAGACGATGATCCCCAGCGTTCGTCCACTCTTCAAAACAGATGGCACAGGTATCACCATTGTCCTCTTCCAAAGGAACCAGAGATGCTGCCAGATTGCTTTTCTTTAATGGAGTTGTCTGGAAAAAAGAAAATATGGAAGGTAGCTCAGGTAAATGAAGGCCCAGGTTTTCACCTTCATCTTTTCTCACCATCTTTGGTTGGGAAGCGGTGACTCTAGATTCAGGATGCTCTATCTCATTAGAAGTATCCCCAGGAGGCGCCATTTGATTTGAGACAATTTCTAAGAGGAAAAACAAAGGAATACTTCACGTAAGGAAAACAAAACCAGTCTATATATAAGTGCAGTTGTCCCAATAATCCATTTCAATTTTAAAAGAAAGACAAAAAGGAATAAGCAAGTTATTTTCATATAATTCCAAACCACAAAAATCTCACAGGCATAAGCATACAGAGTTCAAGACAGACTTAATCAGACTACTTTAGAAAGTTACATACAAATATACAAATAAATTAGTAACTGATCATTACTGCACAGTAAAGGCAATGCCTGTTGGCTTGGAAGGTTTGCAAAATTTGCCCAACATTTTTCGTCTTAGCTCAGTCAATTTCCTAGAATTCTTAGGATACAAAACATGATCCATCCTATGCAACAGGAGATCCAAAGCAACAGGGATATCTATTGGGTTTGGTCAAAACAGTCGAGATGACAACTATAACAGGCCAAAGTTCTACCTGTTTTCAAGGTGTAATGTGAGCAGAGCTTCGTGTCATTGCAGCTGCCACTGATTGTTTTGAGCACATCCTGCTGACACCTTCAATAGACTGAAGCTCATGAAAATGTCACACAAACAAACAGATTGCTCTGATCAACGATGGGCATCATGTCCCGAGTCATTTACATACATTTAGATTTTCAAAAATGGGGAAAAAATGCAAACCTTCCAAGCCAATTAGAGGTATTTCCTCTAAGCTTCTTGCTGGTTCCTCTTCATCCTCCGTGGGGCTGCTGCTGTTGCCACTGCTCTCGGAATCACTTAGGACCACCGTTTCATCTGAGCTGCTGTTGTTGTGGATTACTAGAAGTGAAGGTTCTGTTGGTTGGGTCCTACTGACCTGGAAATAACTGACCAGGGATGCTGTGGATCTAATCAACACAAGGCAAATGTGTATTAGTGTGACATCTGATTCTAGTCCCCTCGAAACATGCCCTTCCTTCATGGGGAAAGTGGCTGAGCCATGCGGACTCCAACACCCAGAATTCCCCCATCAGCCCAGCAGTAGTGTTCACATGCCTAGACTCCAAGGTCCAGAATTCCCAGCCCAGCAGCAGCTCTGACAGGCCTGGGACTCCCAACACCCATAATTCCCCCTTCAGTCCAGCAGTGGCTCTGGCATGCCCGGACTCCAAGGCCCAGAATTCCCAGCCAGCCCAGCAGCAGCTCTGAC